ACATGGCTAATAGGACAAGTTGTTAAAAACAAAATTCAGGTGCTGAAATATAACCTTCCAAAACAGAATAAATGTGAAAAAAAATTTTTAAAAATAAATTTTATTTTATTTTATCCCACCCCCCCCATCAAAATAAAATTTTTTTTTAAAGGCCTGAGGATGTAGTTCTGTGTGAAGGTCCTGGTTTAATTCCCCAGTGCAGGGGGAGGAGAAAAAAAAACTTGCCTGTAATTTAGAAGCCATTAAGTTTGTAATAGAGGTTGAACTAGAATCCAGGTCCAGCTAGATAAACGTTTTTATTGTTCTTTTGGGTCTCTGTGTGTGTGTGTGTGTGTGTGTGTGTGTGTGTAAGAGAGAGAGAGACAGACAGACAGACAGACAGACAGAGAGACTGGAGAGCCAGTATCTAGGGCCTTGCATATGCTGCACAAGTGCTCTATCACTGAGTTGTATCTCCAGCCCATAAAAGTATTTCTAACACTATCAAAATGTGATATGGGGCCATGGGGCTGGGGATTTAGCTCAGTGGTTCTGCCGCTGGCCTTGCAAGCGCAAGGTTCTGACTTCCATCCCCAGTAACACCCCCCCCATGTGATATGTATTCCTAAAAATATTAGTAAACCTCTAAGAAACATTCAAGCTACATCAGAACCACCATGAAGAAGGTGTCTAGTTTTTTGGGTTTGATTTTTGATTCCACTTTTTTTGGGAGGGGTACCAGGAATTGAACTCAGGACCGTGTGCTTGCGAGGCAGGTGGCAGCACCACTGAGCTAAAGCCCTGGCCCTGTTTTGGTTTTTGACAGGGTCTCCCTATGTAATTCAGGCTGGCCTCAAATTCCAAGCAATCCTCCTGCCTCAGCCTTCCAAGTGCTGGGATTACAGGTGTGTACCACCCTGTGCAGCTTATTTTGTAAAATTTGAAACTAATATATTTCTGTATATTTATTTTCCTTAATGAACTCCACACAAAACCTGGATCCACTCCTGTTAAAATGTTAATGGTCATTTTGGAATCTGGTTCAGAAGTGTTGTAACTTTAATAGATGGGTGCTTTAAAGATTATAAAAGGTTTATAACCTTTAAAAGGTTATAATCATGTAACTGTGGAAAAAATATTGACACTGTAACTCAAGCAT